TTGCCAGTGACCATAACATCTTGTGACCAGCTACAGCCTTCGGATCCTTTCCAGCGTATTGATCTGCATGATATACAAAAGAGAGATGCTACCATATCTACCTGGAAAGAGTATGTTAGGAATGGCACTAAGCCCAAGAAGGACACTTTGACTACAGACCATGACAAGATCATGAACAAGAATTTCAACAAGCTTAGTATTAAAGATGATTTGGTAGTAAGAGTCACCAACGCTGATGGTAAGAAACATCAACAGGTTCTTGTTTCCCCAGAAGTAGTTCCTGTTTTACTGGACTTCCTTCATGATAGAATGGGACATCCAGGTAGAGAGAGGACCATAGCTTTGGTGATGGATAGGTTCTACTGGCCGAGAATGCATAAGGACATTGCCAATTATATTGACCACTGCAGTAGATGTCTGAAATTCAAGACACCTGATAACCAACGAGCTTCATTGGTCAGTATATCCACGACTCAGCCCCTAGAGCTTGTATGTATGGACTTTTTGACCCTTGAACCATCTAAGGGCGGAATTCAGAATATTCTAGTCATAACGGACCATTTTACCAAATTTGCAGTAGCTGTCCCTACCAAAAACCAAACCGCGAAAACCACAGCTGACGCTCTGCTTAACCATTTTATCATCCCTTATGGACTTCCACGACAGATTCATTCAGATCAAGGTACAAATTTTTCGAGTAAATTAATTCAGGAATTATGTTTTATTACAGGTATTTCAAAGTCTCGAACCACCCCTTACCATCCTATGGGTAATGGTATCACCGAAAGATTTAACCGGACTTTGATATCCATGCTTGGTACCCTTGCACCTGAACTGAAGTCAAACTGGAAAGCCCACATAGGTCCATTAATCCATGCATACAATGCCACCAAACATGAAACAACGGGATATTCCCCATTCTACCTTATGTTTGGAAGGGAACCGAATCTACCAGTTGATTTAGTATTTGGATTGGACAATGGAGAGAAGACCAAGAGTTTTTAGCTCACCTGAGCCAAAGGCTCAAGTGAGCTTTTCTGATCACAATTTGTCCGTTGTCTGTCGTTGTCGTTGTCGGCGTTGTCGTCGTCGTCGTCGTTGTCGGCGTTGTCGTTGTCGTAAACTTTTCACATTTTCATCTTCTTCTCAAGAACCACTGGGCCAATTTCAATTAAACTTGGCACAAAGTATCCTTGGGTGAAGGGGATTCAAGTTTGTTCAAATGAAGGGCCACGCCCTTTTCCAAGGGGAGATAATCATGATTTAGAGAAAAATTATTGGCATTTTTAAAAAATCTTCTCCTCAAGAACCACTGGGCCAGGAAAGATGAAACTCATGTGGAATCATCCTCAGGTAGTGTAGATTCAAGTTTGTTCAAGTCATGACCCCCGGGGGTAGGGCGGGGCCAAAATGGCCGACAAAGTTTTACATAGTAATATATAGAACAAATCTTTAAAAATCTTCTTCTCAAGAACCACTGGGCCAGGAAAGATGAAACTCATGTGGAATCATCTTCAGGTAGTGTAGATTCAAGTTTGTTCAAGTCATGACCCCCGGGGGTAGGGCGGGGCAAAAATGGCCGATCAAAGTTTTACATAGGAATATATTCAAGAACCACTGGGCCAGGAAAAATGAAACTTATGTGGTATCATCCTGAGGTAGTGTAGATTCAAGTTTGTTCAAGTCATGACCCCCGGGGGTAGGGCGGGGCCAAAATGGCCGATCTAAGTTTTACATAGGAATATATAGGAAAAATCATTAAAAATCTTCTTCTCAAGAACCACTGGGCCAGGAAAGATGAAACTCATGTGGAATCATCCTCAGGTTGTGTAGATTCAAGTTTGTTCAAGTCATGACCCCCGGGGGTAGGGCGGGGCCAAAATGGCCGATCAAAGTTTTACAGAAAATATATAGGAAAAATCTTAAAAAATCTTCTTCTCAAGAACCATTGAAACAGGAAAGATGAAACTCATGTGGAATCATCCTCAGGTAGTGTAGATTCAAGTTTGTTCAAGTCATGACCCCCGGGGGTAGGGCGGGGCAAAAATGGCCAATCAAAGTTTTACATAGGAATATATAGGAAAAATCATTAAAAAACTTCTTCTCAAGAACCACTGGGCCAGGAAAGATGAAACTCATGTGGAATCATCCTCAGGTAGTGTAGATTCAGGTTTGTTCAAGTCATGACCCCGGGGGTAGGGCGGGGCCAAAATGGCCGATCAAAGTTTTACATAGGAATATATAGGAAAAATCTTAAAAAATCTTCTTCTCAAGAACCATTGAAACAGGAAAGATGAAACTCATGTGAAATTATCCTCAGGTAGAGTAGATTCAAGTTTGTTCAAGTCATGACCCCCGGGGGTAGGGCGGGGCCAAAATGGCCAATCAAAGTTTTACATAGGAATATATAGGAAAAATCTTTAAAAATCTTCTTTTCAAGTACTTAAAAGCCAGGATTAGTAATATTTGTATGGAAACATCCTGAGGTAATGTAGATTCTAGTTCGTTCAAATTATGATCCCCTAGCTTTGGGGTTAAAATTCAAGCCCCCCCCCCCCAACTTAAGTTAACTTTCAGTTCTGATCTGATGTGTTTTTTCCTAGCTGATGTGCTCAGGTGAGCGCTGTGGCCCCTGGGCCTCTTGTTCTACTTATGTCCAGAACTTACAGGACTGCTTGAAGAAAGCTTACGAAATAGCAAACACAGCTGCGAAGAACAGCCAATCCAGACACAAGGCCTTATACGACTCGAAGACCAGGGGAGGTACACTGAGTACTGGAGATAGAGTGCTGGTCAAAGTGGTTGCTTATGATGGGAAGCACAAGATTGCTGACCGATGGGAAGATCACCCCTACATCATCATAGATCAACCAAGCACCAGTATTCCTGTTTTTAGGGTGAGAAGAGAAGATGGGGAAGGCAGATGTAAGACCTTACATAGGAATTTGCTGCTACCCATTGGAACCAAACTCTCCTCCCCAGTACCAGCACCAAGAAAGAGCACAAAGCATAAAGATTCACATCCTGAACCGTCCATTCCACCTAAGTCGAAGGATGATGACGATGATGATGATGATGAATCAGAGTATTATTTCATGCCCGGTACCGGCACTAAGACTAATGACCAAAGTATGGAGGACGCTCCAGTGTCCATTAGTGATGTAACTAATGAAGAAGACGACGGTCAAGAGTCAGCTGCAATAGATGAAGACATGCTCAAGGAACTTCTTCCTGAAGATGCTCCATCAGAAGATCATCCTGCTGAAGTGACAGTAGAAGATAACTCTACTGAGGGAATAGCAGCAGAGGAGGATCTTTCTGGTGAGAAGCAGGGAACAGATGATGATAACATGGAAGAAGACCCATCTCCCCCACCGCGAAGGTCAGCTAGAGTTAGAGCCAAACCAAAGTGGACAGAGGACTTTGTAATGTCCCAGCAAGTACAGTCCTCAGAATGCTTACAGAGAGCAAAATATTTTCAGACATTAGTTTCTAGTGGAGAACTTGCTAGAATGGATAAAGATTCCGCTAAAGTGCTCATATCCATAATCACAGGTAAGTGATATTTTATTCTTATTTTATGACGATACTTTCTTTCCAGCATTTTTGTTACATTCTCGGGTTTGGTCAATGGCGCGGACGCCATTCTTGCACCAGGGGGAGAATGTGACAGACTCATGTTTTATATATTATGCACATGTGCATAGCAATGCATATTGCATGTGCATCTATTCATTTATTTAATTATATATGTTTTTACTTGCAGCACACTTCTACAGCTGAATTATGTAATTATTCATTTAACCTGTAGTTAAGTGTATTGATTTTTAAATGATTCTTTTCCAGAGAGGTCCAGAGTTAGCCTCAGGGTGCTAATTATATTCTGGCCATGGTCATTTTGTATCTTTTAGTTTCATTGGTTTTTTAGTATTGTCTTATGGTTTTCTATTGGTTTTTGTGTTTCCCTCCAAGTTTTCTTTGTGTTTTTGGGTAATTCTTGCTTGGTTGCCATATGTGTTGGAAGTGTTTTTGTCTCTGATTTTCCATAGTTGTTTTACAAATCAGACATTGACCTTGAGACCAACATTTCCTATTGCATGGTAAGTAATTCTTTAATACTAATGAGTAATATAATTCTAATTCTATTAAATGTGAAATCTGTAATTTTTGCACTTAATTCCTTTAATCACTTTTCTGGAGTAAATGTATAGTGAGAGTGAGACCTTAGATATAGAGTTATGTGTAAATAGTAAATACAGTGCTGTCTCACTTTTTCATATTTTTAAAGTAAACTTTATTTTATGATTAGTATAGATATCTACAAAGGTGTTTATTGTTGATTTGTAGATATTATCCTAGTACATATACAGTTTTGTGTATGCAGCTTATATGCTGTTGTACAGCATTTGACCCATTCCCATTGAATGGTACGCATGTTCATTGTTTTTATGCTAAACAATAATTGATAATGTACATATACATTGGAATAATAATTATTGTAAAGATTTTATTCTAAATATTCATTAATTAAAGCAATGGGAGATTTTATTATGTAATTTTCATGTAATTGAATTATCTCCCTTGATTCGGATAAAGCTATATGATATATTGATTTGTACATATATATTGATGAATAGCTTTATAGTTTTTATGCTTAGAATTTATAATTTGTTATTTCATTATAGGGTTTTGATGATGATTGATGATTATCTATCCATCGAATAAAGAGTTACTGTCTTGTTCAACTCGAACCAACAGCCTTGTTGTTCATTCTTAACGACCACACAATTACCTCAACACAAGTCTGTTACACATGTAATGAAAAAAAAAACACCCAATGTACTGTACAGAACACTAGTAAATTTAGTATAAATATACCATCCTGATGCCAAACTCTTTTGGTCAATCCAGCTATAATGCTTTATTCGAGAATTTCTTTCAATACTTTCAAATAAAACTATATGATTGGTAATAAATCAATAATACACAACCGAAATTACCATCCTATGTACCAAGGTGCTGATTTATCCTTCAAGAATGCTCTCTCTTCACTCATTTCAAACACTTCCTCGAATGATTTGAAATTGGATTTGTAGGCGAAAAATTGGCATTTCTTCTCTACGTTTTCTAAAGCAGTGCTATTTTTGGTGTAAATAGATTTCATGAACTGGAATGAAAAGAATTCTGAGGCTGTCCAATTTTTAGTTCCATCTTTTACCACCACTGGTCTACCAGTGTAGGCATATCGCTTTTCAAAGTTTTCTGGAGTAATATTTTCCACTTTTTCGACGGATTTCACATTTTGGCAAAATCTACAAAACTGTGGTGGAGGACGAACCATCTCCTGGAATAACTCAGGCAGTTCTGCCGCACACTTTTCAGTTCTTGGATCCTCGACCCCTTTAGTTTCAAGCCACAGTCTGAAAATAGTATCATTTTTGACTGGCCATTCTGACAAGTAAACAATAACGATAGCTAAGAATGAAATAAATAAAGCCACTAAAGATTTCCAAACACAGCTGGGGATTTCTAAACTGTCGATGTCTTCTCTGAGTTCCATTACAGCATCGATCTTGGACAAGTCATCAGGACTGAACCCCTGCTGTATGGCACTGTCATACAGATACTGGAAGTGTAAATTAACCCTTCTCCGGAGGGAATCGTCCTCCTTCGAATCTTTCCTGTTCTGTGAAGACATATCTTTGGTTTCATCTATGCTAACTCATTTGTCTTCTCTCTTCTTTTTAATTTATAGGCTATTTTTTCCTTTTGAAGTTGTTTACACTGACACTGACAGTTGACAGAGATAATTAGGGTCGTCTTCAAATTATTTAGTAACTCGTACATAGTTGAGGGGCATGATGTAAAGGATGGAATGCAACTTGACAAACCGATTCTGCTTTAAATTTCACTGAGAAAATTCAAAAATTCTAATGTTGATTTTCATAAACAACCGGAAAATAGTTTGAAGTATGAAGCGCTGCTTTTTTTTTTAAATAATTTTTATGTCAGATCATGATATGAAGAAATCAACCCAGAGAACAGAAAGAGTAACAATTTATTATCACAACATACCCCATTTATCAAAGAATTGGGGTATATAGTTTTTTGCTCTGCCCGTCCTTCTGTCTGTTTGTCCGCAAAAAATAAGCTTTTAATTTGTTGGAGCCAGGTCTTTCATATTTCAAATGTGCCTTTCTTGTGACAAGACGTACCTTATATTCCTTTGGATATCAACATATTTGACCTTTTGACCTTGACTTTGGACTTTTTACCCACTTTTTAAAAAAGACTTTAGCCATAAACTTTGAACAGTTGGACGGTGAAAGGGCACTTTCAAATTTCATATGTGTATAGGCTACTAATCATGACAAGACCTTTTCGTGGGTTAAATATTTTGACCTTGACCTTAGAAGTGACCTACTTTAAACAAAACTTAAACCTTGGCCATATTTTTTTTTACATTTAGCACTAGTGCTTTCTTTCACAGATATATACACATGTATAAAAGTGTTCCTTATGACAAGGCCATCCTTTTGGTATCAATGATTTTGACCTTGACCTTGGAGTTTGACCTACATCTAAAAAACTTAAAAAACTTTTCAAAACTTTCGCCACAACTTCTTTTATATTGAGCATGTGTATTGCTTATGACAAGGTCTTCCCCTGTGTACCTCCTTTGACCTTGAAGTTTGACTAACTTTCAGAAAACACTAACCTTGATCATATCTTTTGAATGATGTAGGAATTATAATTTTTCAGTTCAAATTGGAAAACAATACATGCTCAATTCTTTTTTCATTTTTTTAAATGAAATATTTGAAAATAACAAACAGTATTCGAGCTCGATCAAAAGTCTGTTAAACAATACAAAATAGGAGCAGAGCAAACACGGGCCTCAACAACATCAGAGGTGGGATCAGGTGCCATAAATTAATGAGCATCCCAGTCACACCCGCTGTGTGCTCCTTGTCATGTCCGAAAATACGTAAAAATCCATAGACAATTCAGTGTGTATATAATGGCATAGCAATCAGTAAGAAAAAAGTCAGTTAGCATTTGATTTTAACTTTTATGAATATGTCCAAATATGAAACAGATGTGTCAGACTCTGTGGTATTTTTTATTTCAAGCTCACCGGGATATATCGTGTCGACATAAGAACGAAAATAAGCATTGTTAATTGACAATTAATGCGTCGTCGATATATTTAATTGTCGAATTAAAGGCCACATAAAACGAAGTATTACCGATGTACTAGTAAATCGTAACTTTTTTTGATTTTTAAAAAGAATTTCAATTCGATAAAATTATTCATCAAACATGACGTTTCAGTAATTTGAGGAGCTTTTTTTGGAAGAATTTCCTATTTTGTATTTTAGTCACCATGACAACATCGTCCAAAAGAATTATGTATATTTTGGAGCAGGATATAAACATCGGTCTTCAAAGAACGGTTTGAAAGCTTTTCACAAAGTTTTACTTTTTACATTAACTGCAACCCGTCACCGAAAACAAACAATTGTTGTTCAAGTATTGCTACTTTATGTTTCACCATCCCAAACAGAACTGAATTTTTGTGACCAAAGCTAATGCATAGAAATGATAGTATTATATCTTCGTTTAGTCTACATGTGTATCAAACTGTATATTAGAGAATTAAAAATGTCCATGCTTTGACTTTTTTAAAAACGGAAATATAAAAATTAGAACAGCTGTTTTCAATCAATTGTTTTACATGCTTCTAGCTAAATTCTAGAATTAGGTAATTAAACTTTGGGACTGAAATTTTTGTAAACGTACGTGATGTATATTTTTGGAATAGGAAGAGCATATCTTTACAAGCCATGGGCTCTTGTGTGAATCGGAAATCTCTGGTTTGTGAAGGCGAGGAAACGTACATTTGACATGCTACATTTGTTCATGCAATTGTACACAGAATATACTGAATTTCATATGCTTGCATAAAATCGATTGTTCAAAATGCCGATACACTTCAGAAAATTTCACACATCTAAAGTTTGTTAATGTATTTCATTCATTTTTATTTTAAATCAAACGCCTTTAATCGTATTCTGATCCAATAGTAATGCTGATATCATCTCCCACGTTAAGAGTTGAATGGTACCAACGGTTTGTATCCAGGACAACTGAAAAAAAGAAGTTAAAAAAAATTAAAATGATATACCAGGTATTCAAATGATTTTTCACACTAATGCTTGAAGCGACTGTGAAATACAAAGTACACTGATCTGTCTCTCTCTCTCTCTCTCTCTCTCTCTCTCTCTCTCTCTCAAGCTCTCTCTCTGAGAAAAATGCAATAAGTTTCTGGATCTTTAATTAGCTGCATCGCTGGACCAAAAGAAATTGCAGATCAATCACACACAGAAATTCATCTGAAGCATGAAATCGGAAACGCTTTTCTATTCTGGAATTATTTAATGCTGACGATAAAGGTTTTATTAATAATTTCATTTTATAGCCTCCTCCAAATACCCTTGTAATTTTAGCACATTCCTGCAACTCACAGAAGTTAATTACCCAGTATAGTTTTCAATACGCGCTTCCCTCCAAGGTGAGCTCAATATAGTGAAACTTTTTTGTTTCAATGCATTTATTTGGATTTTTTTGCAGTCATCATTTTAAAAATGTAACTATTACATTGAAAACTGAAAATGATGTTACTTTATCATTTACAGAATAATATTTGCATGATGAAAATATTGTTTAAAGAGATAAAGATAGACCGAAAACATATGGGCATATTGCTTAACAGATAATGATAGAATGCACACATTTGCACAATGTATTCAAAGGCGTCGGAACTGGGGGCTACCTCCCCCCCCCGAAAAGAGGATTGTCGTGATTGGACAATGGACACACTTCCCTTTTTCTTTTGCATGTCAAAATTTTTTGTAGATTTTTTTTTACTCTTTCACTTACATGTAGTCCCTCCTTTCAATTTGCTTATACGACGCCAATGATATTAAAATGACATTTATATACATGGACACCTGTATATGGACAATGAAGCTACTCTTCCATGCATTTTCTTAATTCCTTCATATCGGTAGAAGCATTTATAAACTATAGCGTTAAAAATTATGGTTTTATATTTGAGTCTTTTGACTAAAACAGTCATGATCAAAGTCTTATATCATTCTGTAAAACCATATAAAGTTGTACAGTTCTACAACAGACATGCTAGTGTCTACGCTTACTTATTTCTCCAGGATTAATGACGACTTGAACACTTTTAGGACACTGAAAGTAACATTCAGGGGGAGGTTCCAGAGTCCAGAGTTTGGTACCAGTTATCTGCGCCTGCCAAGAGGGATGCTCTACTGCATCTATCTACAAAGTATGAACGATTTGCTAAAATTAGACCGAAGAAAAAATCATGATGGTAGTATATAAATATTGCATGAGTGTAACATTGAAAATTTTCACCCCAAGAAATTTAACCACTGTCAATCGAGGCCCAGCCAAGGTTGACAATGGTTTTCGAGGGGTGAAAATTTTCAATGTTACACTCAACTACATGCAATAGTTACTATATAATACTGAATGTTTTATACAAATACATACAACTGAACCGTGCGCGCATAAATTCTGCGCAGTCGCTATTTTTTGGAATATCTCCCGTCGTCAAACACTGTTGACTGTTGCTACACTGTACGCTGGAGGGCGTGGCTTCTTTATTCAGCGGTTAATAGTGTTTTTTAACAAATGTTTCTCGACCAAACAGATTCAACTAATTTACATGAAAGTATAATATCATGGGATATTTCACTTTGCAGTCTGAAATGAAGAAACCTGACACTGGCATATAAAAGAGACATAAAGAGTACTCGACTATCTTTTGACTGAAGCGTACGACTTTTCGACTATGCTGTCCAAGTATAATTGGACATCCCTGATTTAATTATGAAAATAAAATACAGTATTAAATTTGTTTAGGCCCACGAACAATTATATACTAGTACTAGTACATGTATATAGACAAAAAGAATCATTGTTGATTCTCTAGGTATATTTGTATTGTATTGTATGGATATATGAGATGGTACCTGGTAGCAATTAATCAGAGTTTTTTGATAATCAATATTTTATCTACAAGGAATGTTACAGTTTACATTTGCAAGGTAACAGGTGCATGGACACAACATAGAGTGAAAGTTCCGCAAACGTTGGGTTACACGATAAAAAAATATATATGTCCAGAACCATGCTGGTTTTCTGTTTCAACAAAATCAACAATTTGATACGTGCATTCATTAAATTTGGTCGAAAATTTTCATTTGAAAGATAAAAATCGAAGTTTCGAATCCTACATAGGATCCAGATGTCAACTAACTGAAGCAATATCATTTGGCAAGTGTTTATACACTACTGCAACCTGTTGCGTTTACATGATTGAGCGATTTATTATATTTTATTTTTTTCCCCGTAAGAAAGGGGCCAGGGAAGGGGTGGATTTCTTATTTAAAGTTTAAAAAATAAATAAAAGTTATTTTATCTTCAGTATTACATAAAAATGATAAAACTCAAACTGTTATTAGCCTATAATTGTTATTACTGTTAGTATACTTAACATATTTGCCAGAATTACATGCACGTGCAAATTGTAACTAGTCTATAGTTCTACGTGCACGTGCAGTTTTACACTTACGTGCATGTTTGCTCCATATCCAGGACTGCCCATAAATATCCAGTCTGTCTTGCTGGACTCCGCGACCTGGGGGAGGAAATATGGCCGACTGTAATGTCCTCTCAGAGTGTTGGCGGCCGACAGGTCACAGTTACTCCTGAAATCATCACCCAGAAGTATTTTAAACCAAAAACGAAGCATATACCAAAACATTTCTTAAAAATGAAGTTAAGTCAAAAGATGATTTGAATAATCTGGAATATCGTTTAAAATTAAAAAAATAAATAACATCATATGGCATTGCAAATTAATATTTTTGAACGAAGTTATTCCAATTTTTTTCATCCCTCGTAAGGAGGGGGGTATCTATCGACTGGAAAAAGTAATCATTAAACGAAGAGTTAAAGAGCCATCTAAAACTTATTTCAAATGCAGAACCAAAAGTTACCATAACAGACGCAGAGATTCCTATTTTTTTTTAAATCTATTTTTTTTTATCTGAAAGACTGGAAATCATAGCAGAGGAGATAAAAACAATTTTACCATCCTATATACCAAGGGGCTGAATCGTCCTTCATCAAGGCCCTGTCTTCATTCATTTCGAACACTTCCTCCAAACTTGAAAAATTCGTTTTGTACGGAAAGAATTGACAGTTCTCCTCAACATTCTGCAAAGCAGGACTGCCGCTCGAATATATAGATTTGAAAAAGTTGAATGAAAACACGTTTGAAGCCGTCCAATTCTTGGTACCATCTGTTATTACAACTGGCACAGAACTGTACGCGTAAACTTTTTCAAATACTTCTGGAGACAAGTGATCCAACTTTTCGACAGACGACACATTTCGGCAAAATTCACATGACGTTGGAGGTCTAAATATTTCTGCCATATAGTCAATGGCATTCACAGCACATATTTCTGAACGTTCAGAGCCGGCCTCTTCCCCAGTTAACGCAAACCAAACTTTGACTAAAGTTTTATTTTCAATCGGCCATTGGAAGACAAAAACCAAGACGAATACTGCAACAATCAATGACGTAATGGAAAGAATCAACAGAGAATATTTCCAAACAATACTCCATATTTTCAAAAGAGCATCGTCTGTTCTCACTGCTTTCCTTAATTCCTTAATGGCATCAAGTCTATTGAAATCGTCTTCGGAGAGTCCCAAGTCCAATGCTTTCTTGTACAACTGTTTAAAGCGTACCTTTGGATTTTCAGCATCGTTCTTGGAGGTGGACTCGACTCCATTTTCTTTGATTTGGCTCATGTCGTGATAATAAAATGGTATTTGTTAACGGTGCTTGAGAAGTGTTGCTGGATTCATGTGTTAGTAACGAGTTACAGCGGCTCTGTGATGAAGTTGGTATCGCCAACCTCATCTTTATCGGGATAATTTTACATCACCTGTAACGTAGCGAATCGATAATTAAACGGAAAAGACACGAAAGGTGACAAGGGACTCCAAGGTATTAGCTGAACATAACTCCTATGTTTTATAATTTTTATGACTTTTTTGATGTAGTGAATATGCAGAATTCGCATACAAGTAATTTCCTATGTTAGTCTAAGATTTATCACCTAGCTTGAATTTACTTTGATAAAGGAATTGCTGGTCTAAAACACAAAAAATAAACTAGAATATCCCTTTAGATAAGCAAAATATACATGTACTTGTTTATTTATACCCATTAATAAACATATTCATATCAGATTATCTATGTTTGATCTCTATACTAGTATGCTAACTATGCACACATGATGTAATAGTAAATCTGTGTCGAAATTATAAAGTACTATTATATGCATATTTTTATTGATAAACAGAAAATATGTCAGAAAGACAATACCCTTTGATTAACTATATCGTAATAGAAAGTAAATCAGACACTAAAGAATGATCTGTCTATTAAAACGTGTTATAAAATGATCCTGAATAAAGAAAAACCATTAACTATACATTTTCACTAAACACAGCTGACATCAAAGTATTTTTTTATGAATACTTACTATTCAAAATTGCACTAAAGAAAGACCACTTCCTATAAAATGATCCTGAATGAGAAAAAATTCTACATTTTCCTAAATTAACACATATCTTCAAAATTGTATCAACCTTCAACACAAGCTCATTTGTATAACAGATGGAGGGAAGATAGTAATTCAAATCGGAACATCTCTGTAAAGGTTCAGCTGTAAATTGACCATTTGCAGGACACGTTGATTGGCAGCTACTGTATAATATAAGCCGATGACACGAGGGTCTGATTCCACGGTTGTCTGTGGGGTGGGGTGGTTAGCTGATTTGGTCTCCTCAGTGGGAAAATTAGGGTATAGAGGAAGCTTATTGCTTGTAGTCACAGACACTTGATGATATTATAACTTTTTTTAAATGAAAAAATGTTTGTCCCTACATAATTAAATCACCAATAGTTGTGTACTTGTTATAATTTTCAAATATAATCAGTAAAAGACATCACATATAAGAGGGGTGTGTATCTGGGTACTCCTCCCATAAGACAACATCAATTATTTAATCCAGTGAAAACAAGCTTAAAAGTTAATTTGAAATCGTGGAAAATCTCTCATCATTTAGATTTTAAAATAAATTATTTTCCATTTACCGTTTTATAAAAAGATGTAAAGCTTTACGTCTTTTGCGTGCAATAATCAAAGGATTTTAAAAATTTGTTGTTTTTTTAAGTAAAGCTACATTTTTCTGTCTTTACAAAAATTAAAACCAGATAATTAAATACGCATATTTTGAGGTTATACATTTGAAATCCTCAAATACTGTACTAGTATTATCAGCAGCTGTATACAGACACTGTCACAGAGATGTTACCAATACACCAACAATGAATCCATGGTTAAGTGCCTGTAGAAGCCAATGCGACGCAAATGCGCTTGATACAAAGTCATTGAAAAATAAAACCGATGTGAAGTCTGTGTTAAGGTTTTTCCACCCTCGGAATTTTAATGGTTCAAAGTACAAAAACTGCATTTATTTTCATTTCCTATAGTTTGAATTTACCAATTATTGTTGCAAAAAAAAAAAAAAAAAAAAATAGGTAGCCATATTATTTAAGACGGGAGACATAAATAAACAGAAGTGTATGTCAACATGAAAAATCGTAATTTTTTTGAAAATGGTATTGTAAATGTTATGTAAAAACTGGTTCAAATGCACAATTCTGATACTAAGATTTCCAAAATAATTGTTACTTGTAAGATAATTGAGAAATGTGAATATCAGGGACGTTTTTTTTTTTTTTTTTACATTTAAAGTACAATAAAGTAAATATCTAAATGAAGATATCTGAGAAGGAGTTATTGCCCTTGTCACAATTGTTCAAAGATTATATAATTGATTAAATAACGAAAATATAGATTTTTAAAGTTCCATTACTTAACAACATTTATCATTACACCTATTGTCAGAAAAAGCATTCTTTCAAAAACTTTGTTCTATTGGGTATGAATTTAAACTAAGAACAGATTTTGCAAAAACCTATGACATCACAGAAGGATGGAAATACCTTAAGATACAAAGTCATTGTAAAATAAAACCCATGTGAAGTCTCTGTTTAGAAATATCTTTCTCCGTTTTCTGGTTTATCTAAAAAGCACAGTGATGCATATAAGGAAGGAAGCTTTAGAAATACCCACAATGTCCCAATCATCACAAAATGCAGAGAATGTGACATCCTCGTTCGCTATACTTAAAACTTTTGTATTAAATGCCGTTCCTTTTTATCATCCTTCCCGTATTGTTATTTTTTGTTTTCATTTAATTGAAAATGCGTTCAATGAATAATGAGAAAATAACACAATAATATCAACGCAGTAGTATTTATTATGCATAATTTATTTTCAATAAAACGTATTTAAGAAATGATCTTTTTATCACCAACAACAAACTCTAAGCAACTAACACAGGACTTCTTAGGTTTCTTGTGTCCATAAACAGAAATAGATTGGTGAAATTGTACAGTTTAACTCGGTTCTCGGTTACTCTCGAATTCCTTTCCGTTACAGTAATAACACTGGCAAGTATTGTATAAATGTTTAATAGTTTTAGTAGTTGGTCTTAGAACATTTATTGCAATGCCCGGCTGTAATATCTCTGGAACGACTGAAGCGGATGAGAATAAATTTGGATACATGTATCTGGAGTAGAGAGACAACAAAAGTACATTTCTCGAAAGTTTCTCGTATTTCCCCTGTTTAAATGCCTTCTTTGGAGATGTTATCATAAGTTTCCAATGACTGGAAAATCAACTCTCGAACTCAGTTTTTGACGGGGATATGTCCTTGGGTACGCAAGTCCCTTTCAACATCATCTTAATTGTGTAGACCCTGCCACAGGCCAACAAGTTTCTGTTTAATAAACTCAAATGCAGATACTGCCATTCTCCCCACACAGCGAGGAAGCCAAAAGACAATATCCAGAATCCCTCTTCCTAATATCGAGACTGGTTGATGTTTGGGTTGTACTTCTGGTTCTTCTGGGTTGGAAGTTTCACAATTTGTCTGTTGGGATAACAAGTTTAGCAGTGTCTGAAGTTGTTTGGCATCATCATTCGTCCACAGACTATCATTACCTGAAGAAAAACAAACGTGTGTGTATACATCTGTATAAAAATTCTAAATACTAGTATGCGACCAAAAGGGTCTTTAATATAATTGCTATTCCTTTATATTTATTTCTAATTACAGTTTAATAGAATGATTTAATACCCCTAGGCCTCGCGAATGGGATAACGTCAAACGCCATTTCTGTATTCCAAGGGGCCAGGAATGTCCCGTTGTGTTCCCCAAGTTCGGCTACCCTGTCCGGGATTTCTTCCCAGCGACAGGGAGTGAAATTTGGCCGCTGGAGAACCACCCACTTCCAAGCAAATGTAGAATTTGTGGGTAGGTGGATCCCAGCGACCCATTTCCCAGAATCCTTAGTATGCTGATCTATAGAGGAAAGGAATTTACATGAAAAATTATATATATCTCTTTCAAATTAGCAAAGGATATAAAAATCCTTCGCCACAAGCTAGTCTACGATGCTTTTGTTTCCTTTCATAGTTTTACATTTATAATTGTATATCCACTGACCAGTGACAATTCTTTGCTTAAGACAAAGGGCCAGATGGGATGGATGTGGATGGGGGAAAGAACCTCCTGGAATATTATCATTCTTTAATTTATAAGACGTACAAGAATATTCTTAAACCTTATACTCTATTTATAACGTATAGTATGCATGGTTGAATCTAAAAACTCTAGACAAACGTCACAGTTTTTGCTTTTCATTTTTCTTCCTTTACCTTCACAGTCGCCCCAATTGCAAATTTGCTTTTTCATAGTACATGTACATACCCTAAATACCCCCCCCTCCTGCACTTTTTTAAAGTAAAGTTTAACAAATATCCAGGATAGCGATTTTCAATGTTCATGTTGAACTTTACCTGCTATGAGTGCGGCGCTGGCATTCCAGTTCCCAAGTTCTGGGATTGAGCCACAAACTGCCAATACAAAGCCATCATTTGGGACAACATATTCACATTCAAATTGAATCCAGAGTGAGGAGGGATGTCTTGAAACACCGTAGCGATCCATTTCTAGATTGTACATTCACGACACTATTGTGACGTAACGTGATTGTACATTGTGACGTTTTTATCTATGACGTATCATACTCTGTTTAAATACTAGTAAAGAAAGAAAAACGAAAAAAAAAGAACGAAAAATACATAAATCAAAATTTAGTTAGGGAAGGAGGATGGCACAGTTCCACAGCCGTTAATTTTTTGATATTTTGTGCAAAATTGTCCACAGCCACGTTAATTTTTTGAAGAGCCCTTAATGGTTTTGATATCTGACAAACGATAATTGCGCTACGTATGAACAATTTCTAAAACGAGGTAAATTATTGACAAACAAGTTGATGAAACAAGAATATTAGCCGTCTCGTTTAAAGTCATCATTTCGTAAGTTCTATGGTCGATACAATGACCTTGTCAGCGAATACAATTTATCATTGAATCAAATGCTGACTGATGTTTTTCACACTAATTGTTAGTCCATTGTTTATACACTAAATTGACGACTGGTTTTTCCGTTATTTCCTGATCATGACAAGGAGCACACGGCGGGTGTGACCGGTCAGCAGGGGATGCTTACTCCTCCATGGCACCTGATCCCACCTCCGATGTTTCGGAGGTCCGTGTTTGCTCTGCTCTTCTTTTGTATTGTTTTATGGACTTTGAGATTGAATACTGTTCGTTATCTCCATATCCTTCATGTATACAAAAAAGTACACATTGAAAAAAATCTTGATGTATTTGAAATGTCTTTTCTTTCTAGCAATTGAACAATAGTGTAAACTGGAGTCCTAGCCCATTTGTTTGTTGTTGTTGTTGTTGTTGTTTTTTGTTGGTGGGGAGGGGGGGGGCTGTTGATGAAAACGATGCGTTAAGTTTTTGTCAGACATTTAACTTTGATTTTGTCCCTTATATTAACTGTACTTGATCATGTACATGATTTCGGTAATTTTTTTCTTAATAAATCAACACAAAAGATTCAATATTCGCCTACAGAAAATTACGAAGAACCCAGCTACGAAATGTTTAAGTAAACCTTATCTAAAATACTCAAAGGTCGCTTATACCATTACTTTTAAACTTTCGTTTTATTTTTTTAACCTCGTTGACCGGTTATAAAATTATACTTTTATCCAAATGTTTTCAACAAAACTCCGTTCAATGAAGTTTATTTAAACTGTGATCTTCATAGATGAATTGATTATGTCCAAGAATTCGGGTTCATGAAACTGTTACTGTGCACCAAATTGAACATTGACCAGTTGACCGCCTAGGAACTCTACCCTCATGGAGTCAATCCGATCAAAGTTCTCCTACATCTTAGGAGGAATATTTGTGGTTATTGCCATTATCATGACAGAAACATGGGTCCTTTCTTTGGATTTTCAAACAAGGGGTCGCATACTTAGAGCCCAATTTGTGTTTTTCATGCAAATGGCATTGTTAATTGCAGATTGGATGGTGTGGCGATCATTGGCGAACCTTTTTGATGCTAGGCCAACGCCATCACTACGGAACAGCTTTGTGTCTAAGACATGGAAAGCATTTCTAGTTCTGTATTCACTTCTAGTCCATTCAAGTTACTTGTGTAATGTTTTGTTTGTTAGAACGGAGCCAGTTTTGTTTTCTATTGTTGCCTATTTATGTCTAGCTGTACAATTTCAATTTGTATTCATCATCATTCTTTTTAAATTGTTTGAATTATCATGTAAAGTTTTGAAAGGCAAAGCATTCCTCAATAAGAGGATATACCTTGTGGCATTTATCCTGATTTTCTTTCTAACTGGGTATGGTTTCACAAACTCGCAGAAGCCACCTGTGATAAAAAATGTAAGAATTCCAATTAGAAACCTACCTCAAAATCTCGAAGGATTTACCATAACAATGTTGTCAGACATACACCTTGGCCCTACTGTTGGAAAAAGCAAATTGGACAGAATTGTTTCCATGGTAAACAGTTTAAATGCAGGTAAATATTTTTAAATGTTGAAATTAGCTTAGAGTTTTAATTTAATTTATTCTATGTCATTGAAATTTGCTCTTTTAAAAATGGAATGATAAATGCTGATGACATGCATTAAAGAACTTTAAAAAGACAGTTTGAATGGCTCTCCTTTATGACAAATGTGTACAGTGTATCTATATAATTTTCTCTGTAGATACTGTGGTCATTGTTGGAGATCTAGTTGATGGACCAGTGGAAGCATTACGAGAGTCCTCTAAGAGTCTTACCAATATCAAATCAAGATACGGAATACACTACGTGACAGGTAGCAGATTATTCCTTATGAGAGTTATTGTAGTTCATGCAAATATGACAACTTCGTGTAAACCAGAGAGAGAGAGAGAGACGGTTAAGAGAGAAAGAGGAAAAAGAAAGAGAGCGATGTATGTAATGTATTGGTCTGTGGATATCAGACTACAGTAAAACTCGGTTATAACGAAGTCACTGGGACCTATGAAATTACTTCGCTATATTCGTAATTCTTTATATCCGTATAAGAATTTTGTTAAATTCATATAACTGGATAACTTCACTATATCTGTGAATTCGCAATATCCGTGTTCGTACTAACCGAGTTTTACTGTAGATAGCTCAGATAGAATACCTGATTTGTGATGCAGAGGTTTTGGGTTCAATTTTTCAGTTCAGCCATATTAGTATTTTCTTTATCAATTCCTCATTTCTTACTTCATACAACTCCTTTCTCATTGCAGCATTTCATATTGACAACTTTATATGATTTATGCTTTTTAATAACAATCAGCTGAGTATAGAGATATATTTATATAAACATATGTATAATTAGAAATTAAGGATAAGGGCTTGTCTGGTGGAAAAATATCCACCTCAGTATTGAAGGAAAACCTGAGAGCTTCGCTAGAAATCTTGACTCTTTGCTGAATTCACCCCTTGATACAAGACAAGCCATGTATTTTTTCTTTACTTGATGATTTCAGGGAATCATGAGTACTATACCATGGATACTGATAACTGGTTAGCCCACCTGGATTCCCTAGGAATCAAGGTCCTCCACAACAGTAACAGGCAGATCCCCCAAGGAGTGGATCCAAAGGAGCAGATATGTATGGCAGGAACTGATGACATTGAGGCAGACAGGATCATGTATAAAACTCACACTTATTTTAATAATGAAAAAATATACATGCAAGAATGAAACATATACTGTGAAATCACTTATTTTTGGGGGAGGGGGGGGGTAATTTTTCTTTGTTTACATGGTATTAAGAAACTAAGAAATTCATGTTCTCCACAAAATGTGAAGTTTTGAATTGATATCACTGCAACAGTGCAATGTTTCTTCCCCTATGAAATTATATCCCTTTGAACCAATATTTGCTTTCTTCAAACCATGAAAAACTGACCCCTTGAAAATATGTGATTTTTAATTTATTTTAATTGAGTGAATTGTTTAGGAACTAAAATTTGACATTTTTTTCTCATAATTTATGTTTAAACAGGAATATATATCCTTAATTTATTTAGTTAATTGATTGACATTATTAAGGTATGATCACCATGGATTCAAATTGGACGATGCACTAAAGGGATGTAATCCAGGACAACCCATCATCCTCTTAGCACATCAACCTAAAGCAGCTAAAATGGCACTTCAGTCTGGTCATCATATAGACTTAGTCCTCTCAGGTATAACATGTAATAAAGCTAATGCTTGGAGAAAACAAGAAAAAAATTGATCAGTGCATTAAATTAGCAGATGGAATGATTTTTTCTTGAAATTTATCCATATCTCTGAAGCAGTGATTTTTTTTCAACTTTGAAATTCAAATTATAGCCAATCTTCAGAAGATCAGATTCTTGATCTGCTCCTATATTTTTTTATTGTCCCTAAATCTAAAATAAAGGTGCAGATCAAGAACCTAAATTTAAGCATATTTGATTATACATGTAATAAGCTTCAGAGTTACCCCTAACCTGAATCAGCCCTTTATTGATGGAAAGCTACTGATGTCATATGCATGACTGTTGATGCTCATGTTGTCATAGCAGGAGAAATTTTTGATAGTACAATATGATTTTTTCATTTACCTGTAATCCATCTTTTCCAATTTTCAATGGATTAAAAAATATTTTAATAAAACTTGTACTTAATTTAACATTTTTGTAGGTCACACACATGGTGGGCAGTTTCCCCCTGTAGTTTTTGGAGCCTACCTCTTCAATCCATTTTATGCTGGATTATATCGCTATGGAGACAACAGTCATGTTTATGTTTCCATGGGGACGGTATACTGGGGCTTTCCGGTCCGCATCATGACAACTCAGGAAATCACATTTATCACTTTATATGCTGTCTGAACAAACATTCTTTCATGTATTTTTCTTGATCTCAAATTTTAAAATTGAATGTATTTAAGTATGAGTGCTTTGGATGAGTTCCTACATGTAAATCTTAAATATTGCATGATTCATGGCTGTCTCCAGCCTTTGTGCCATACTGGATACATGTTTTGTTTTATCAGTTGAGATATTGCCAAAGTTTGCAGATCTATTTATTTTGTAATATCAATTCATTTCCTTTTATTAATGTGATTAAACATTATCCTGCTGCATCGTAATTTACAAGAATGATTATCTAAACACTCAGTTTATTAGTTCAGTGATCCCCTTCTAAAAGACTGAATATTACATGTTCATTACAGACATGTATAATTGACCATCAGTCAAATGGAGGGTGTTTCAAGCTTTTTAAAAGTGTTGCTATAATTTGTTGTAATAGTTATATAATGTATCTTTTAATTACTAGAACTGGAGAATTTGGGTTCATCTGTTGTTGAATATGAACATCTTTTAACACTAAGAAGACAGTTTATAAGCAGCAGCATGCTATATAATTCAGAAAAACTCCACTATTTAAAAATATTAATATCTACATTCACCTAGGTTATGTTTTTAGCTCATCTAAGCTGAAAGCTTAAATGAGCTTTTCTGATCAGCCATTGTCCGTTGTCTGTCTGTTAACTTTTTCACATTTTCAACTTCTTCTAAGAACCACAATGCCAATTTTAAACAAACTTGGTACAAAGCATCCTTGGGTGAAGGGGAGTTTAAATTCTTAAAAATGAAGGTCCAAGTCTTCTTGCAAGGGGAGATAATCAAGAAAAGACAAAAATAGGGTTGGGTCATAAAAAAATCTTCCTCTCAAGAACCAATGACCCAGAAAAGATGAAACATGTGGAAGCATCCTGGGGTAGTGTTGATTCTAATTTGTTAACATCATGACCCCTGGGGGTAGGGTGGGGCCACAATAGGGAATCCAAGTTTTACATTGAAATATATAGGAAAAATCTTTTTTCTCAAGAACCAACGAGTCAGAAAAGCTGAAACCTATGTATAAGCATCCTGGGGTAGAATAGATTCCATATTGTTCAAAACATCAACATGTTTATGACTGGCATATTATAATGTGTACTTTTATCTTTACATGTATTTCAATGGCATCTGCATACAATGCTTAAGCACATGTACTAAGTATAGTTCACACATGTAGATACATTTCCTTAAAGCAAATTACATGTGTATATACATGTACAGTGTATTGCACTATTTTAACACAGACAATTTGATATAAATTAAGGTACTTGTAGTTTTGTCTAATCAAAACATGAGGATGCTCATTTCCACTATGATTCTTTGTTGATTTTGGATGCCATTACAGGGATTGCTTTGTTTACTTCTGTATCTATGTTATGTGTTTGATCATTTTGCACTGTTTCATGTACATAACAGTAATATATTTGTTAAAATTTTGTTCATTATTAAAAAAAAAACTACATCATCTTCCATTAAATTTAATTCTATAAATATAAATTGCAACAGCAGTTATATATATATGTAAATACAGAGTGACATCTTAAAAAATATTGAATATAAAAGACAGAAAAAAGAGCATCCAAGTACAAGAAATCTCAAATCTAAAAATTTATACCTATACCTTTCTCTCTCTCTCTCTCTAAGCCTAATACACTCAGGTATTAAATTTACCCACAAGAAAATAGCTAGACAACAATAATTAACATAACATGTACATGTATATAAACTACACAATTGCATAATTAGACTAGTTCTTTTTTCTGTGGAACATTGAAATTTGTTAATTAAAAAGTTATCACAAAAAAAAAATAAGTTTTCAATTTTCAAAGCATCCAACAAACCTTATTTATTACGCTTCCTGAAAAATGTAGATAAAAAATCATCCCTGTTTACAAATGCATTAACAGGACACTTTGAAAAAAATGCTTAAATGTTACGAAATTACAATATATTATTAAAATCTTTAAGAGAAAATTTACAGTAAATGCAATTAAATATATAAAGTTCGAGCCACACCTGTTAGCACCGTAAAAAATTGTACACAAGTTATTGACTTGTTATGTAGAAGCACTGATTTCGTCCCATTCAGATCCTGCAGTAGTTGTTATTTTAAAGTCTGTGTTTGAGCTGGCTTGTATTTTCAAGTCTGTGTTTGAGCTGGTCTCGGTTTGGGAGGGATTTTCCTCATTTCGTAGTACTGCACCACTTGTTGTGGAACCTCGGCCAGTACATGACGTGCCAACTCAGCGCTAGAAGACTGAAATACAAATGTTTTGATCAATTCCTGCTTTATAAAATAGGAGCTAAGATACTGAAACTTTGCATAGAAGATTTAATATAATTAAAGAATGTTGTAAAAAAATTTCTCCTTTTTATTTAGCAAAATTGAAATTTTAAGGTATAAAGGAAAAATGCTGTTTAATTGGTAACTTTTAACTTAATGTTAAATAACTTTAGCTATTTTAATCCCTTGTCGAAACTCTTTAAAAATGAAAGAAACATATGATGGGGACAGGATCCTTATTGCAGTGTGGTAAATTTGGAAAATGTCTAATTAATTTCAAAACCATAAAACTTGAAAAATGTACTGTATGTGTACATAATTTGGCACATTCAAAATTTAGCGTAGTTATTGGGTATGGAGTTGTTGGCATGATCATAAATTAGCGCTACACGTTCGTTTGGTGCATTGTATATGTAAATGATTTCTTAGCAGAATTCATGAATTAGCTCACTGTTGTCTGTGCCAAAGCCGCTAAAATATGAAGCCTGCTTTTTAAAGTACACATACAGTATATGAAATCTTATTAGTGTTTGTATGTTATTGAAACAGTATAAATGTCAATTAAATTCCCAAATCCAAATAAATCCAGATTAAAAATATTATTTGTGCATCAAAGCAGCTATTAAAATATGACTTCTTGGTTAAATATAGTCTATTATTTCTTTTACAAAGGGTAACTTTTTGTTTTTACAAATATGTTTATCTCTTTTATATTATATGACAATCTATGCATTTTCAGCTGAACATGGGGAATTTGTTAAGAGTTATTTCCCCTGTCACACTCTGATGGAGAGTTCTGACTTGACTGAATTAAGTAACAAAATTCCTATTAACTATCTACAGTGTATAAGGGAATAATCACAATGCTAGCTCTAATATTGCCAAGGTACAATCTTTGAAAAAGCAAGTATTGCTTTATGGTAATTTTTTAATCACAAAATGAAAACTGTACTACTAATGCATTTAATGAAAATGTAGAATTTATTCAATTTGCATTTAATATGACCAAGCTCAAACTGACAAAGCTACAATCACTGTGCAGGACAGATCAGCGTCTCTGCAGGGAAAATTTAAACTCTACTAACCTCAGTATTCTTCTGAAATCAATGAAAAATACTTTTTATGGGAATGTTAAAATCTATTTTGTTTAAATTATTCTTATTCAAACAACTTCAAATTTCAAATATATATATATTAGGGATGTCAACGAGTACCCGGTTTTTATCATCGAACGTCCGAGTATCGAATACTAAAATCGGTACTCGGTTACTCGGATGTATATTTTTTAATATTTCTAAGCTTATTTATTAATGCATTAAAACATCACTTTTAAAACGTAAAATTTTCAATGCACTTGTACATACAGTAATTAGGGTTTCCTACTCCTCTAAATGACGGTTATCGCCTGTGGCAGTGTTTATACAGTAATTATCGAGACCAAGCACCTGCTACCTACCTGGCTTTTCTCACCTTCGGCTGTCTTCTACCCTTACGTTTAGTTTGCTCTAATTATTTGTTTTCATTGAACATCGTTTAAGGTCCATTATGTTTCAATAAATTAAGGAGGCTCATTACACCACTTTTTGATGACGTACTACACAAAAAAATAAACCTCCATTGTGTCGACCGGTTTGCTCAGGGGACGAGTTGTATAGGTACCTATATAATATGACCCTGACCTTTAAAACGCTGTAAAAATAGATGAAACATGCGGTGTTGTAAACAGTGAAAACAAAGTAACGGATTCAATATGCATAAACCAAGAAGAATTGCTTTTAGGCAGAAACAAAAGAAAGCAACAGTCAAATCTTCGCCAAACAAGTAATGTCAATTTCATAGCCATGCATGCAGTGAACTCTATCAATCACTGACATGTATGTATGGAAGAAATTCGAGTTAAAATCTACAACCTTGTTGAAATTAAAATTTTATTTAATTGCGCTATTTACTGTGTTGGTGTTAATTTATATATTTGTTTTATTGATTTAAATGTATTCTCTGGCAATTTAAAGCTTTATTCTGAATTTTAGATGTAATGTCAAACGTTCCATAGTGTTTTGAGTCTTGACTAATTAGGAAAGATAACTCTTGAAAGTGGACTTTTTATACCAAATATTTTTTAAATTAGATTTTTCATTTCGTTTAAACTTTCTTCATTCAATTTGACACATGTAATTCATTGAAATACATTCTTTGTCTCTTCAGAACACATTTTTAAAATGTTTTATGCATAGATTAAAAAGATAATGACATTAATTGTTTTCTAGGAGAAAATTATTTTTTCTAATTAAATTATTATTAGGAATTATGAGGTATTTTCACTTTGTGTACTTGTCTTAAGAAGATGCCCATCATTTGACACTGAAAGTTCTGAAATTCTGTGAATAATAAACCTGAAATAAGACATTTCACTAAAATAAAACAAGAACTAAAAAAATCTATAAAAAATATTTATGATATCAATACCCCCATCTGGATATTTGACATCTACATTATATGTGGTGCTGTATTGAAATCTAAAATAAACTGTGGATGTAATGAGCCACCTTAAATAAGTTTGTCCTCCAGAAGCCGTATATTCTTGAAGAAAGAGAGACAATATTGCACGTGCGATTGTTGATATGGATGCGTTTGGTTACGTGCCAATTAATACAAATTGTTGAATGCAAATATTTTAACAGTCTTATGTCCACGGTTGCACCAAACTACAACATACCGTCTCGTAATTTTATGATATCTAGGATCGAAAAGTGTACGAAGATCGTAAATCCGATCTGTTCCAGGAGAACTTGATAAAGTTGATACTGTACATGATTGTAGCTCTGACGACTTGTCACTTAGACGTTAAACGCACCAAAGAGTTACTTTACAATTAGGTATTTTTAAAAAACAAAACCACTGTGAACCATTTATGATTTTATTTCTCGTATTTATCTGGTGAATAAATTGAACTCAAACATTTTTCGTCGGGTACAAAATGGTCATTATTGTTACAACACATTTATAGGTAAACCTCCAATCAGACCATATGGTTTTATTTCTACAAGAGTTAACAATGTTTTACAGTTTAACTGTAAAACATTGTTATCAAGTAACTTGTTTATATTAATTTAGACTTTACCGAGTACCCGGGTACTCGATCGGAAAAACGTCCGAGTAACCGAGTATTAAAAATTGTCCGATTTGACATCCCTAATATATATATATATATATATATATATATATATATATATATATATATATATATATATATATATATATATATATATATATATACATGTATTTTTTGTATGTTCACAAAGGATGCATTAACTTGGTCCTACAGTAAATTTCATTAAATCCACAAGAACTTTTTTTGCACATCTAATATACAAGATTATTGTGCATGTACTTGTCATTAGCAAGAAGCAACCCTACTATTACTGTAAGCAGAACTCTCACACAATTCTTCTTTTAAAAAAATCAAATATCATCAAGCAAAATGAAATTAACATAATACATATATATTTCTCGATTTTGAGGGATCCAAAAATAGTTGTGTTTTACGTACCATACTGAATTCTCTAAAAGGCACAAACTGTACAATATCCCTTAACGCTGGTCTGCCATTTGCCCCCTTCAGAACCCCATCATCCCCATCTAAAAAGTTCATATCAGAGAAGTCCGCATCCCCCACCCCCACAATGATGAGGGACATAGGCAGGCCTGAGGCATAGACAATGGCATCCCTAGTCTTGTCCATATCAGAGATTATACCATCTGTTAACAGGAGCAGGATAAAATAGGCCTGAAAGGAGGAAATATTGCCAGGTCAGAAGTCATTCAGAAAATCACTTATAATGAGGGAATCACACTCTTTTCTATAAACATTATTACAGTAATACAGTGGACCTTCAGATATCCGGACGCCAGATATCCGGATGCTTCAGTATCTGGACAATTTTTCATCGGAACAGAAATTTTTTAACATTATTTTAATTTTCATTCCATGCATGTGGCTTAAAAACATATTGTGTACTAATTAAATAGATACACAAGTGATGAAATTATGTTTATAACGAAGTAAAATTATCTGTTTCTGGTACTTCACTATAAGCATGTTTACTGTATTAAGTATAAAAACCAACATGTGCCCCTTTTGTGCCTTCCTCCTTCTGTGCCTGCTCAGCAAACCTGGCCACATGGTAAATGATGGGGGCCACATTAGTGGGGCCATAAAGGGTCACCCTCTGTATGCAAGCTTTGTAGGCTTCAAGGACACCACCAATACCTATACAAAATTATACTGTCCATTTTATACATGTATTTGTTAATGTTCAAGTTATTAACCAGATTTCCTATAACAAATCCCTTCATTTTTTAGATAGACAAGAGATGCTTTTGACTGTTTGCATCAAATCTTGTTATAAATGTCCAATCAATTACTGTAAAATTTGAAGTTAGTCAATTTTAATATGAAACAATATCTAACAAAAAAATGTTTACTGTAAAATTAATATTATCTTCTTGTATGTAAATGCACATTATTGATAACTGGGATACAGGCAAAGTTAATTTTATACAGTTACTTGGTTCTCCTTTCCCATGCAACTTTACAATGCCCAGACTTTGCAATTTCTTGCCTACACAAAACCTTGGACATTCGTCATTTTGTTAACAAAACCTTGGACTTGTGAGACATAAATTATCATAATCACAACAATAATTCTACACTCTCCCTCTAGTTGACTTACCTGCACAATATGGGTTACTGGGGTTAAAATTGATGGCAAACTCCATAGAAATGGTTCCATCAGGCAGTTTAGCACCAAATCCCAAAGCAGGAAATAATTTATCCCTAAAAAAAAAGATAGGCCTCATATCATGAAAATCATCTTAAGGTCCACGGACCTTCTGATAAGAGAGATAACTCTTACTGAGATAAATTATTATTATTCCTTGATAAAATTGTCTGGTAAAAACCCATTTCTATCAAATTTTACATCACAAGATTTCTTATGGAAAACACCTTCTATATTAAAGCAAAATTTAACTGAGGGACTAAAAAGTTGATATTTTTTTCCCTTAGTTTGTTGTCTGATAAATGTACTTAACAAGTAACTAGAACATATGACAAAATAATTCACAGAGATGTAGATAGGTCTTACGTATCATAATCCTGACAGACATTGCCTACGGCCTGTATAGCTAGCATGTACTCATTAGGTTGGTAGGGATTAATGTAATGTAGAGAATTAGGACTACTAGGGTTTCCATTGGATCCAGTGAAATCAATTCCTACCTGAAAAATTCATAACAACCAGTAAAATAAGGTAAATATATCATCGAATGGTGTGTTAAAATAGACAAAAACTTAAATTTAAAAATGCAACCCCAAAATTTAACCCTATTTTATTAGATATTTCATGTCATCTCAAACTTATGTAACAGAAAAAAATACATGTACTTATCAATTTAAAAAAAGGTAAAATATGACATACATTTTAGCATTATGAAAAAGATATTGTGAATATGACAGTTATATCCTGACTAAGGCTCACTGTAAAGTTTATCTGCATCCCCCCATAAACAAATTCCAGGAATGATGTTCTCTTGAAAATCTGAAAAAAATTGAAATAAAGACATGTTTGTGCAATCACAGGAGTTCGCGTACATATCAAATCAATTTTACCAAAGTTTTCAGTAAATTACAAAATATGTGATACCTATAATAATAATACAGTGTTATTATTATAGGTATTGCATATTTTTTTTAATTTCTGAAAACTTTGGTAAAATTGATAGGTACATGAACTCCTGTGGTACAATAAAGATGCCCCAACTTAAAGCAAACAGGAGGCCCATGCCTGAAGGGTCACGATGCTCACCCGATTCAATTATTCCTATCCTGGCTATGGGGCAATGTATAACTTAAGTATTATTTAGAGTACGAGTTTCCTACTGTATCAGAGATACAGGGCGGGGCTTGAGGCGAGAGCGATAGCTCGAGCCGGGCCCCGCCCTGTATCTCTGATACAGTAGGAAACGAGTATTCTAAATGACTTGTGACATGACCTTTCTAATGACCTTACCAATTTACATGCGTATTTGGGTACATATCTCTCAACCAATCAGATGATTTTGGCAGAAAGCTGATTTAGTATTATCCCATTTTATGCATTCGCAACTGAAATGCCGAGTGAGGTGGACGAGCAGGTAATTATTTACTATTATTCTAATATTTTAAAAATAATTATTTGGGGGATGCATTATATAATTTGTTTTTCAAAAAATTAATTTAGATTTGATTGGGTTGGGTTTTTTCTCTCTATTCAGCTCTTGCTGAATTTTTTTTTTAAATTTAATCTACGAATTAATGCAAAACATTTTTATATATAAGAAATTAAGAATCATATTTTTGAAACAAAAATGCTTCGGGGATATCGTATTCTGAGAGAAAATGTCTGACAATATCCTCCACCGTTCGTCATATACAAAATTGAAATAAACAGATGAAAGGAAGGGGGGGGTATCTTTCTTTCATGTCTTTAACAGAATGTAGAGAAACCAAGGGGGGGGGGGGTATTTTTCTTTCATGTCTTTAATAAAATGTAGAGAAACCTTATTGATTGTATTGATTGTGACGTAATATAGGTATCTGATTGTCTCTTACGTCATCAGTAACAACTTTTGTCTTGGATCCAGCACTCACAGGTGAACAATAATTGATTTAAGCACCCCCCCCCCATCCCAGCGAACTTCTAAGTTTTTTTTTTTTTTTTGCTTTTGTAAATTATTTTTGCCAAACTTATATACATACGCTTTTAAATTTATCAACAAGTAACGATTTCACGCACATAGTGTCTTGGTTGATTATAAAACTAACCCCCTAAAATACGATTTTAAACCTAACCCCCTGAAATACGATTTTTCATTTGCGTTTTTTTTTGGGGGGGGGGGGATATCAAAGTAATCATTTTTGAACTTCCCCACTCCCTCCTTTCTAATTTTTTTTTTAATTCGACACTCATAACTTTACGTTGTAAAATTTTATTCTATCTAAATCACCTCAAATTTTGAGTAATTACTAACAGTGCTATCATGCAAATTGAACGATTGTTGTGTCTGAATTTGAATACAGCTTTCCGTCATCGCTAAAAATAAACCGTACTGTATCGTTGATATTTTGCAGATACAGTACAGTTTCTGTTGATTTGCATAAGAAACACCCACAAAAAGTGTTCTGTATCGTAGTTACAGTATGCTTGACTTCAAAAGAAAACTCGCCGGGTCATGTCACAACACAACATAGGCATGAATGTTAGGCATTTGAGTTAACCACAAATTAAAAGATATGGAGTGCAGGGTTGTTCCTTAGAATCAAAATGACAGTGGACATTTCAAAGTAGAAGGATACATGCCTTGGGTTCATTCCCTAAAAGGGGGTTGGGAGGGAATCCCAGAATAAGTGGGATAACGTCATTAGAGGCAGGGAAATATTTCCTTGGATCTTAGGTACAACCCTGTGATAATTCAACTTGCATGATTCTTAATTGAACTTGCTGGTTTTAGTTTTTCTTCTGCATGCAATGACCCTATTACCTTTAATTCAGTAAGGTGGATAACTCCCGAGTTCTGGTACTTCTTTTTAGACTGTTTCTTTGGATTAATACAAGGGTAACTAGCCTGGAAAAACAATTAAACAAAAAATGTGTAATTAAATATGAGGTAATGAATTTCATTGAATAGTTTGCAGTGATTGACTTTAAAAATCTGATACAGTGAGAAAGATATGCAATGGAGAATCAATTGTATTAAAGGCTTTCAAAATCTACTAATTGAAAGGTAAATTCAATTTTCTGTTTGACAACCGTACAACTCAGAGAGAGATTAATATAATTGATCTTATATTGTCTTGCTGTGAACTTTAATATGAATGCTAAAAAAATCAATATTTGAACTTTCACATATACCTTTATCCAATATATATTTCTACTTATTCATTTCCCCTGGTTACAAGAGTACACATTCTCAAAAGCCAGACAAATTTCTTTATATAGTACAAAACACTCTTTCCTAAACTTGTACAAACTGTCAAAGCAACACCACTTGTATGCAAAATATTTAGTTTTTAACTTTCAAATTTTATGTTAAGGTCTAGGTACATTTTTGACCTGAAACCAAGAGCATTTTTAAAACTACAGGTAAGAAAGATTAAAGTTTCAATCATAATTTGTTTACGTAAAGTACATAAACAAAGCTTATAAACTTCATTGAGAAATGAATATCATTGCCCTATAAGTAGGGGGTTAGCAAACAAAAATCTGTGGAGGTTTATTGACCTAATTTAGCCTTGCTGACTAGGCTCTGTGTAAATAAGTGTACAAAAGTGGAAATAAAATCAGCATAAAACTTTTCATGGAACATCGGCTACACATATTTACAATCTCCTTAAACCATCTCAACTTTATTTCAGTGTTAAACTGACATTTTAAGGTAAGACTGTAAGAGATTTAATTTTTCAACATCTTAGTATACAAGTTTGTTAAAAGAATGCTAGATTGTAAAATTTACTGCTTATATACAAGCATAAACCTCTTTAAATATTTATAACATACATGTACTATTTATATAAAGGTACAAGTTGATTTTAATTTATTACACATGACAGCAATAGGTTGATTTTTATATGCATGTATTACATATGAAATATCTGTTTATTAGTAGGGTAGGCTAAGGAGCTATTGAAAAGGGTGGGAAAAGGGTTGTGGCAAATTAATTAGCGTCACATGCAAAAATCTGAAAGATTCTCACCTGAAGTACACAAATTCTGAGTTAGTATATTTCAAATAATTCTGTATAAATAGTCAAAGTTAATTGATATCTGAATTTTGCTACCTATATAGAAAACAACTTTTTATGATTTTTAAAGGGTATTAGGTGTAAAAATAAAATGAGCAAAAATTTTCAAAAATAACCGGTTTAAATACAGTGTAGTTATGATCAAGTGAAATTCTTCATTCATCCACCCACTCCCCTCATGTTCTTTTCACTCATTTCAAAAGTAAAGTGCATCAGACATGTAAAAAAATTTTCTAGACATTTCCACTCGACAAAAGAAATTCTAACATATTAAAGGTAAATGATTCAGAACAGTGCATATTATCATAAAATTCTTTGATCACTGAAGCAACAGAATCACGTCAGTTAAAAAATTCTCATTGATTTGATTTCTACCAGAGAGATGTTTGCACATCAATGTTGACACAAATTTCATTTTAAGGTGAAACATAAAAGGGGGTCACTCTGACTATTTCTGTTTGCTCTGGTCAGTGGCCGTAGTGTGTGTATTTACGGGGTTTGTGTGTTAAGTGCAAGTTTGGGTGGAGTCGGTGGTGAGATATTGATATCGTCATAGTGATGCGTAAACATCAATAACTCAGTGTGTGTAACGGGATTATACACTTACTATCATAAAGTTGGATTTTAAAATAGTTTTATTTAATTTTTAAGGTAAGACAATGTCAATTGATTAAAAATTAGTAATTGTTTGAAATGTAAAAAAAATAAAAACATTTTAATTATAACATTTTCAAATTTTTAGCATATAATTATAATAGATAAACACACTCTGTATCTTTTTTATATCTTATAAGAATTTCTTACATTATATTGAATCTTATTGATTTTATTTGATTTTTTAAATGTAAATTGGGCATACCAAAAATTATACAGGTGTACTTTATTAATTCATAATTATAGTTTTGGTGAGTTGTTAACTTATTATGAAAAAATTCATATATAAAGCTGCTGCAATATTTATTGAGCAATTCATAATTATAGAATATAATTTTGTTTTGTGAAATTCCTAAATATAGGTCAGATCAAAAAGTAAAATAGGAGGTGCACAATTATTATGAAGAAAAAAAATCATATATAAGGCTGCTGATTACTATATACCCTCCCACTTTTCAAGCGGGGGGTATAAAAATACAATTCTAACATTAAATATACCGTAGTATCTGTAAAAACAAATTTCACTAAATGCAATTTACTTCATCTTTCTGTATTTTATAGCATAAGAGGTTTTGAACTAACACTTGAATGATCGATGCACTGCACTGCAAAGACATTAATTAATACATATTGCATATTGACATTAAAACCTCCGATATATTTGTCCGAACAATAGCTTTGTAGCATTTGCTACATCTACCTCACAAAAAACATAGGATAATTTATTTTCAATCAATACAAAGCAACAGCTTTGAACACATATCCTACAAGCTTTAGGACAACATAAGTATGTAACCCACAGGATGCTGTCAATTAATTTCCCGGTTTTACCTTCACCAATACATGTTAATACTGTATTTAACAGCAAACTGTTTCAAATTATAAATGATTCACTTGCCCCTTTTTGTACATTGCAACCATGTAAGTAGGGTCTAAATTACTTGATACTGAAAGACAATGACCTTTTTTATGCAGTATAAACTCAATTGGCAAACATTATCAGAAGTAATCTGTGATTATATTTTCTGATAGTGTGAATGTATTATAGTGTGTAATTGGCAGGACAATCAATGAACCCCTGATAGACCTGTCACTTTATTTATTTCAAGGACAGCTTACTGACAAGAGTTACTACAACAAACTTAAAAGGTCACAAAGTTTGCTTTTGTTTTCTCCTTAGCTATTATTATTGTCACCTGCATGGTGCAGTGATTAGAACATTTGCTTTAGTGCAGTGATTAGAACATTTGCTTTAGAGTCATGGAGTAAATTAAAAGTTGTTATTATGTTCTGTGTTTGAATCCCACTTCGTGACATGGAGGCCTATCCTTCTATAATCCCAAGATTTCACTGACTCTACCTTCTGTTTTTATAAAGTGGCATGTCACACTATAAAAGCAGGAGGTAGAGTCAGTGAAATCTCAGATTAGTCCTTCTAATGAAACTGTAAAACTGAGGTCCCATGTGACAGTAGATGCTGGCACTAAAAAGATCCCTCAGTTCCTCAGAGGCTGTAAGTCCTGAGTATAATTCTAAATTCTGTAACCCACCCCCCCCCCCCCCCCCCAAATGGTATGTAGTGGAATTCCAATACAAATAAAAATTCTAGATAATTTCTACAAATAAATGTAATTTTAAGAATTTTTACTCCTGCTTATTGAAAAAAATTGTCCTTTTAGAACTTATTAAAAATTCATTAATTTTTTGGTTGTTTTGCATTTGTAAAAAGACTCAATCAATTCTATTCCCCACCTCATTTTTCTTTCAAATCAAAATGTTTGAACATGCATAAAAATTTTGCTGTTGTTCCCTACTTTATCTTATATATGGCTTGTAAAATGAGTGGGAGCCATGATAGATAGAGTCAGTTGCTTATCTTTGAAACTCCTACACAACATGGCCATTTAAAGTAGCCTGGTCAACACTTGGACAATAAAATTATTGGGACTTTATGATTAACACCTAGATATGCCAGCTGGCAAAATTTCATGCTCCTAGGTTTCTTATATTCATCAAAACCATTCATGACAACCAGCTTAAAAGAATTCATGTCTTGTTCACAGTATCTACATTCTGATTCGATAGCCCCCCCCCCATCCCCCAAGAAAAAAATTATCATACATACCTACATGTATATATGCCTTTTGCTCAACCATAGCAGTTTTTGTCAAAAGCATTGTTTGCCAAAATTATACTGCTGAATAAAGTCTTTGAAAATATATAAAACAGCCCTTAAAAACCATTAGGCTATGCATTCAATAAATCATTCAGTACTCTCAATGTTGACAATGCTTTCAATACTTGACTATTTTAGTAAGAATGTTGTTTGCTAAAATTGTTTAATCAGTGGGATTATGTGATGGAGATATAATGCAATCTGTTTTGGATACATGGTAAATATTTTTTGCTAATTACCTGCATTAAAGTGCATGTAAATTTTTTTTAAGTACATGTATTTAAGCATGCCATTTTGGCTCCCCACCCTCAAAGTAAATATAAAAACGTGGATGACATAATGCTCAAAAAGTGCAGTGTATTTGACGCATAAATTTAAATCAATAGTTAGGTATACTCTTACTATAGCAATAAAACAGCTGTTGTATGTTCAGGGTGAAAAGGTGAGTTGTGGTAACACAAGTTAATACTCCAACTCAGAAATACACAACTAAAACACAAGTTTGTTTTCCCACTCCTCTGAGGTAAATAAATTTCACATATGAAGCACATATTAAAATGTACTATATTTTTTTTCAGATTACCACATAACAGACTGACAAGCATTCTCCATGGGCCAGGGTGAAGGTCAGGGCGAGGGTCAAGGTCAGGGGAAAGGAGCGGGTGACCTCTGCCCCGGGCTGATCTGGGCCATTCTGTGGTTCCTGATTCTGTGGTTTTTGGCATGGCCTATTGCCTTCTTTATTGCCTGGTTATATGTATTCCTACTCCCATTCTCAGCGTGTATAGAACCCATGAAGGGAGTGTGTGAGGCCATTCTAGGGGTGCTACAATTGCCCCTTACATGTGCGGAGAATATGATTGCAATGAAACCAATCTGTGGTGGATAGACATCTAGACCGTTATAGACAATTTTATGACATTTAATTAGTTATAATTTTTAAAAATAAGCTGTATTGCAAAAAAGTGCTATGACATAAAAAATAACTATGAATCTGTTTAGCAATTGATATTTATGAAATATACATGTATAAGATGGTATCAAGTTTGGGTTACACATTGCTATATGAGGTACAGGTGCTATTGTTATGGAGTAATTAACTGTTGCAAATAAATGTATTATATTGTAAATAAAGTTTACTTAGTTTTAAAAGGTGAAATTTGATCTTATGGATGAAGTTTCTATTAAGTAATTTGAAACGAGGATGATCTACTATTAGGTACATGTATTGTTCAAGTTCAAGTTGAACTTTGATAATATGAAAACAATGACGAAAATGACAGCTGACTAAAAAATAATCAAACTTTCTTTTTGTCAAATTTCACATTGGTATTAAACAGCACTGTTAACTACTATCAGATTTCAAAGTTTTCATTATTCTAAACGAATTTATTAATTAATTAATCATATAAATAATTTTAAAAAAATTTTATCATAAAACTTTCAACTCTTCAATATCACCACCTTTTCAGTGTAAAATTTGTCTTTGTCATAATGAGTTGACACTTTTTCACTCTTAAAATATTCACATGATTTTTTAATATCATGAGTTTAATTTTTTTATGTAAACATCCTGTAACTGTAATAAAAAGGTATTTATCATAAAGTACATAGAAGTCATTGGAATTTAAGAGACCCAAAGCTGTGTTGTATGTAATATATATGTACAGATAGATTTATTTCTACATTTAATTTCTACAAATGGATAAAACTCAGAGCAACAAACTTATGATCTACAAATAAAGACAAAATATACTACATCTTTTCTAAGTTAATTGCTACAAAAGGGAAAGATCTCCTATGCTCTTGAAAAATGAAGATTATTGGTAAATATACTATATCCTCCTCTTTGACTGTGACAAAAGGGAATTAACTCCTGTTATAACAATAAAATGAGACAAACCTCCTTTCCCCCTTGTGTCTTAGACTCCATGTCTGCCAATGTTGTTGTGAAAGTTCCAATAAAATCATGTGACCCATCACTGTCATAATCATAGCAATCAAACTGCAAGAAGAAAGAAGACAGAAAAATGTAAAGTTTAAGCAGTAGAAAATATGAGGTGTATAACAATATGGTGACATATTTCTGTCACTACTTGTCAGATATTTGTGTCGACCTGTCAGAAAACTATGTCAGTTTGTCATATCTTTTTGTTGACTTGTCATTTAATACTCACATGTTCAAAAATTCAATACAAAAATCTGTCAATGCCCAGATTTTAAAGTCCAGTGAAGGAATTTTTTGCACAAGCCGCAATAAGGACCTGCCAATTAACTTTATATAAATCATCTGATATGTCAATATGCCTTTCTAGAACTAAATATATTAATAATAGTGTTGGCAAATCGGACGATTTTTATTAACCAGTCACTCGCTTAATCTTCCGATCGAGTACCAGTTTACTTGGATGATTTTATGTTATAGTTTCCGTATTTATTATTAATCTCATCCTTTTAATTATTGGTAGAAATAAACAACACATGTAATATATACAAACTTTATTTACAAATACAAACTCAAAAAAAATTGTTTAGTCTCCTGCAAGTCACTGGTTGTCGAATTATGATTCAATCTAAAATAATTTAGCATATTTGTAGTTCCACCAGTATACGACAAATCCGATTTACATAATTTGAATTTGGCAGATTTCGAGTTATTTAACAATATTTCCACGCTCTTGATAATTGCGGCGGCATATTGTTAATGTATATGTTCCTCTAACACAGGTCTATTAAACTGAGGTAATTATAACTCAGGTTTTCAAAACGCGTACCCCATGGCAATTAAAACCATCAATTAAACAAAACAAAACAAATTGATCCTATTTGTGAACCATTAGAGCAAGCCTAACGGTAATTAAATTAGGGAAATGTGTCAATTTACATTTACAGATGACATACAAATTATTTCATACGTATTTTATATTATGAAATATGAAAAATATATTTTTATTCGAGTAACCGAATAGCAGTTTTACTAACCGATACTCGCATCGTTCGACGGTTAACCAGTTAACTGGGTACTCGTTGCCAACACTAATTTAATAAGCCTAAAAATACTAACATTTTTTTTTCTCACATACCTACATGTTTAAAATTTAAATGCTGAAGAAGAGGGCTCTAGAACTTCAACTGTAAACTTTTGATGCATAAATGTCTTCTATAAAATGGCACAAGGAACTACTTTATGTCTCTATGTCCAGTTACCTTGATATCTTCGGACTTGTTTCCACCACACAGAGCATGAGAAGAGAGAGTGAAGGGGCGCCATACAGGATTTAATGTATTCTTTATCACCTAGAGACACAAAGCATTAAATTACCCTTTAACTGTAAAAAAATTATTTTTCAACAACATGAAATTGATCAAAGTTGAAAATAAATTGTATCACTGGAGCACAAGATTTGCTCATGGTTAAAAATTACTTGAAGTCATGATATATCATGCCTATAACTGACAAGATTTGATGATTCTTGGTCTCACTTGGTGAGTTATGAACAGGACATGATCTGACTTTGCTAATGAGTTAAAAGTGTATAAAATATTTCCAAAATAAAGTTCAGCACGTTTTTTTGGTGGCAATGTTTCCCTCTAAGACTCATAGAAGACTCATATCACTTGACAAGTTTAAGTTATTCTAGGTTTTATGTTTAATACAATACGTGTATGCATAATGCATAAATCAGATACAAGTTTGAGACCGACTTATTTTGACTATGTATTATCACATAAATATTTTTATGTGATAAAATGGGGGGGATCACCCCTCCCCTACTATGTACATGTACATGGCAATAAAGGAGCCATACCTCTGTTCTGTGAACAACCTGCCAAGATCCATCCAATGCTTTCTTTGAGATTTCTAGATAAGGATCAGACTTCCCCAAAAAGTCCTGTAAAAATTTTATGAATTAATTCTTTATACTTATAAATATAGCTGCTATGCATAGTATATTGTGGTAATGAGTTCTTTGTTGAGATTGAGTGGTACTGTAATGCACTCAATAATATCTATAACCAAATAAACAAGAGGCCCAGGGGCCACAGTGCTCACCTGACCACATCGGCTAGGAAAAAACACATACCAGATCAGAACTGAAAGTTTACTGAGGTTGGGAGGGGATGGGGCTTGAATTTTAACCCCTCAGGGGATCATGATTTGAATGAACTAGAATCTACACTACCTGAGGATGATTCCATATAAATATTACTAATCATGACTTTGAAGTACTTGAAAAGAAGATTTTAAAAGGTTTCCCTATATATTCCTATGTAAAACTTTGGTCGGCCATATTGGCCCCACCCTAACCTAGGGGTCATGATTTGAAGAATTTGAATGTACACTACCTGAGGATGATTCCACCTGAGTTTCATCTTTCCTGTTCCTATGGAACTTGAAAAGAAGATTTTTAAAGATTTTTCCTATATATTCCTATGTAAAACTTTGATCAGCTATTTTGGCCCCACCCTACCCCCAGGGGTCATGACTTGAACAAACTTGAATTTACACTACCTGAGGATGATTTCACGCGAGTTTCATCTTTCCTGGCCCAGTGGTTCTTGAGAAGAAGATTTTTAAAGATTTTCCCTATATATTCCTTTGTAAAACTTTGATCGGCCATTTTAGCCCCACCCTACCCTCGGGGGTCATGATTTGAAGAAATTTGAATCTATACTACCTGAGGCAGAGAAGATAGCTAAGAGCAGAGAGGAATGGAAATCCCTAGTCCTTGCCCTATGCGCCTCCGGGTGCAACAAGGACTAGGTAGGTAGGTAGGTACTACCGGAGGATGATTCCACATGAGTTTCATCTTTCCTGGCCGAGTGGTACTTGAGAAGAAGATTTTTAAAGATTTTTCCTATATACTCCTATGTAAAACTTTGATCTGCCATTTTGGCCCCAACCTACCCCCGGGGGTCATGATTTGAACACATTTGAATCTACACTACCTGAGGATGATTATACATGAGTTTCATCTTTTCTGGCCCAGTGGTTCCTGAGCAGATTTTTTAAAAATGCCATAATTTTTCTATAATTCATAATTATCTCCCCTTGGAAAAGGGCGTGGCCCTTCATTTGAACAAACTTGAATCCCCTTTACCCAAGGATACTTTGTAGCAAGTTTGGTTGAAATTGGCCCAGTGGTTCTTGAGAAGATGAAAATGTGAAAAGTTTATGATGACGACAACGACAACAGACAAATTTTGATCAGAAAAGCTCACTTGAGCCTTCGGCTCAGGTAAGCTAAAAAGAAGAAGGTACAGTTTCAATACAAATAAAGCCCTATATTTTTCTAAAATATGAAAGTGATATTAGAAATTAAAATTAATTCTTTCTGAATCATAGGAATTCTCTGCAGTAAGAATACACAAATGATTTTTCTCATATAACCTCCTAAATGCCAAATGTGACGTCATTAACTTGTGCATTTTCCCGTATTTTCTTAAAAAGTTGCAGAAGACATCAATTTTCAGTGGAATTTTCTTTCAGAAAACATACTCTGCCACCGTCGCCCGGAAAGATTTTGAGATATATGATTTTTCATAGCTGTTTGCATAATATATCCAAAAATTAAAGCGGGCGACGGTGGCAGACACTATTTTCTAAAGGAAAATTAGCAGAAAAACGAGACATTTTGAAGCTTTTCTGCATTAAACTTAAAAATGTACCAAATTAATGACGTCATATTTTCAAGAAAGGCTCTTCTTAATGCCATATTCTTTAATGATTTATCATATTCATCTACTCAACTATTGTTAAAACCAATTTCACAACTTTTTAAGAACATTGAATTTTTAGGGCACAATAAAGCTTAAACCGTACCGTCTTCTTTAAAAAAAATAAAAATGAAGATGAAGAAAACCTTGTTGTCCAGTTTGGTGGCACTGAACTTCATGTGAACCATCTCTCCTCCTTCCTTTACCTCTTCTGATCTAATCTACAAAAAGTCAGCAGTGTGTTAATATTAATATGACAGTCACAGATGGTTAGCTACTCATTACAAAGATTTACTACTTATAAAGGAATAGACATGTCAAGTTCAAACTACATCCTGTGATTTTTTGTGCTGAAATCTAGAATAGCAAGTTACCAATACAAATACCATTGTCTCCAATTGTGGAATTAAATTAATTAGGAGGAAAAGAGTTTAAAATGATGCACTTAATTGAAATCTACTTTCGCTACAGTGGACATTTTCTGCATTTTTAAAGTTGAGCAAGAACAATTAAATTTAAGTTTCATACAAAAATTGTGGATCCTCCCATAGGTTTCCCATCCTTCTTCAAAAGAGGCCCTGAGTACGGATTCCTGGAAACTATCTGAAAAACAATATATGTACATTTGTATTTTAGTAATTGATTATGTTTCAAGTTTTACTGAAATAAGATCAACACTCTTAAACAATACTGAAAAATTTCTGTTCCCAATAGTATAAATTGAACAAGACAAGTCTTGTATGACTTACCTCCCCTAGATTACATTCAATTTTGCCCAAAAAATCATCATCTTCGAGGGTCGCTGTTTCATTATCCAGATCATACACCTCTACTTTCACTTTCTGAACTTCCTCAAAGAAGTAGTCCACCTTGAAAGCCCGCGTAAACTTCGGGTCATGGCAGTTCTTTATTAACTCTGTTCTCCCAAGCTGTTGAAAGAAATATATGTATGAGATGCTTCAATATTTCATTATGACATTTTATGTTATATTCCAACACATGAAAAAAAGATTCAAATCAGGCTTTGAAATCCATGCATTTGTGTATACCACAACACTTTAACCAACTAAATTAATTGTTCCCTCTTTTTTGTTGTGAAAGTAAATTAATCTGTGTGTAAATATTCTATATTTTTCTTTTTGATATGTAATTATGTAATTTATCTCCAAAAAGGTCCGCATGTATCCCTTAAAGACATGCTCTAAAAATCAAACTTTACTTACACTTTAATAAATTTTTGTCTGAAAAACTTCCCAAAGTACAAAACTTGTTCACCAAGCTGTCAATAATACATGTAATTATTGAAGTTAATCTTAAGAAAGAGAAGGATATAACAAGACATAGTACACATATCACTTCTTAACATTTGGTTTTGAGGGGGGAATATCAGATTAATGGGGGGATTACATCACTATAGGTGAGAACCCCCCCTCCCCCTTCCCTCTGTCCTAGGGACAACGCTGTATAAACTTACTTCCTCCCATTTCTGACTCTTTCTATTCAGCATGTATATCGCTGCACATGGATCTGACTTGGAGAACTCATCCTTTTTCTTCAGGGCTTTACACTCTATACGAAGTTCCACCCGAGAAACAGGCCCTCGATCAGTACCACCTAGCTGGGGTGGATAGGGATTCATTTTATCTGCAAAATAATATGATTCTGTGAAGAGCCTTGAATATTCAATCCTGACCAATAGTTGTATATAGGAAAGGAACAAATCTGGTAGCACAGATACATTTAAGCTTAGGCCAAAATAAAATATACTCCTGTTTCCTGTCACCTGACCTACCCTACATTTTACCCTCCGACCCTAAAAGTTTTCATTACATTTTCATTTTGGGGAGCTATTTTCCTGAAATACTAAAGTCGACCAACAATATTTATAGAACTAATAATACATCACAAGTGTACAGCTTACCTTTACTTTATAAATCTTTATTAAGTGAAGTTGGGATGGAATGATATTTGGAAGATGGAACCATTCAGACTTCAGTTTAAGCTGAAATCAGTTTATGATGTTCTTCCCAGCCCAACTAACCTGGCAACATTTCCAAATTGTGTCCTCTGTGGTAGACCAGCAAACTTGGAGCACATATTATCAGCATGCTCAGAGGCTTTGAAAGATGAGAGATACACTTGGAGACATGATAGAGTTCTAGCCAGTATAGCTGACACCTTGGAGAAAGGTATTAAAAGGCCAAAGAAGAACGCAGAGAGCCTGAGATTCGTCAACTTTGTGAAAGAAGGTGAAAAGGGACATAAAGCTCAAGTTGAAGGAAGTGGTCTCTTGGGGACAGCACAGATTGGCAGATGCGGGTAGACCTTAAGGAAAGATTAGTATTTCCGCCGGAAATAATAGCCACAAACAAGAGGCCGGATTTACTTTTCAATGGCTACAAGACAGACAATTATTTTTTTGCCATGGGAAGAAAGGATGGAGGATGCATATGAAAGGAAAAATCTTAAGTACCAAGACCTACTGAAAGATTGTCAGCAGAACGGATGGAAGGTCTGGTTTTTTGCAGTGGAAGTGGGTTGTAGAGGATTCGTGGGACAGTCTATGTGGAGAGCATTTAGGGAATCTGTATCAGCGTCCATGTGGTTGTGGAGAAGAAGAGCAGATAAGTGGAAAGACAATAAACATTAGTGAGATAGACAGTAAAGGTAGAACAGCAGTGATGTGAAAAACAACAGTAAGACAGACACTGAATTAGTACAGCAGTGATGTAGAGCCAAGTGGTTCCAGGCTGGGACTTGATCACCCCAGTCGGCGCACCTCTGGAGGCTGTAGTGGACAGCGCCGAAACAGCTGATGAAGGAGGATCCACCTGAGGATGGAACCACGCATCTTTCCATCAAGATGTATACAAGTAATAAAAATAAAAAAAAAACAAACTTGCTTTGTAAACTGTTAACATACTGTTTTATTTTTATTATGCTATATGTCCTGCATTCATTGAATTTTGAAAATAAAATTTTTTCTCAAAATAAAATTTTTTCCCTACCTACCTACCCTATTTTTTGGGGTCAGGGGACAGGAAACAAGAGTATTTTTTCTTTTGGCCTTATGATGGAAGAAGCTTTCTGCTGCCTGCTGGAATAGGTTTTAATTAACTTAAGGTATATGTTCATCTGAATACAGGAGATACTTTTAAAAATATGTAACACAAAATTATGAATCAGTAACAGATATAGGTAGACAAGAAACCTATGTTCATGTACATAAATGATATAGAAATACAGGCTCAGCTTTATTTTTCAATTTTATCAATTAGAGAAACCATACACATTTAGATGTGGATCTATACTGTAGATTGTTATCAAAAAGATTGAAAGAACAGGAAACAGGAGGTGAATTGTTGTCTTCACCTATCCTCCCCAAGTAGATACTTCCCTGTACTTGATAAAACAGAGATTAATCCCCTGCTCTGAATAAGGGAGGAAATATTTATCAAGTTCTCCACAAACAAAGTACATGTATTGTTGTCATTTGTATGTACATGCATAAAAAGGCACAGCTATGGTGGCCAATCCTAAACTTGACTGCAGCCCAGGCAAAATATATATGCTTTTGATTGAGAGTATTAATTTGTAAGCAAATGATTAATAAAAAAATATCCAGTACTTTGATCATTGCTCTACATTTATACAGTCAATTTGTGAATGGTAAATACATGATACAGCAGAATTCCCTGTGTATACCATTGTCTTGTAGAACTTGTAATGAATTTTTGATTCAGCTACTCAAAGTACTAGTAGTTCGACAATCATCATGATCATTGTACATATATATTGAATAGCTTAATAAAGCTATGTAGTAAAATTAAGCTTAATGAAGTTATTGCCATGAATCTGTCAACAATTCAATGATCGAGGAATATATGTATTTTGATACAAATCAAGCAGAGGAAATTCGAACAGTAAATCGATTTCTTAAATATCAAATTCTTTAGAACCAATAGTTGGAAATTAACCTTTAATAAATTTATATAATAATACATACAATACACTGTAATAATTGATACCGTATAATCAATACCTGTGGACTTCGTTAAACCGTTCCCTCCTTCTTCTGTAGATACATAAGCGGTCTTGTCGAGACGTAAACAAATGACAAGGGGGCGTGGCCTAGCGTTATTGCGCAATAGTTTTTCACTCGCTCTCTCATCAGCGCATCGTAGAAGAAAGTTACCTCAATAACTTGATGATAAAATGAATGTTCTTAAAATGATAAAAATATATGTCATGCAGAAAAAAATCACTTTAAACTTTGACTTTCACACAGTCTGTGGCAAAAATATTATAAATTTCATTATTTGGATCTACATGCAATAAATTTCAAAACTTTAAATGCATTAATATAATACTTTTCGTATCTTTTTGTAGCTAAAATCAAATTCTTTAGATTTTATTATATGCATGTTGCATGAGGTGATCAATACAAGCATTAGAAAAAAAGACCCATTCCTTGCATAATGCATTTACTGAGAAGGGGAAATAAAGGGGAGTTAATCTCAAATATGATTTTTTGGCAAACTAGTCTAAGAAATCACTGTCACTTTAAAAGGAGATAAAGCTAAGGTCTGTGCATAACTGCCCAGTGGCCTTGACCTTTGAAATAAAACCTTGATTCATCGCATGGCTATAGCTATAGACAGAAAACAATAATTAATAATAAAGCCAAAATATTTCTTCGTGGAAGAGGAGTCATGATATGG